TTTATATCTTATCTTTAGTAACAACATTAAGTCCCTGTTTATATCTACATCTGCCTGGACAACACATAATTAAATATTACAGAAGCATGATAATTTTGAAGTAGGCATGATCATAGTAATTTAAATATCAAGATAACACACATGGTTTATAGTCATTTATTGCATGATATACTTGTACATTTCACATAATCACTTAGCACCAAAGATACCATGACACATTTTTATCACTTACACAATGTGATTCATGTACATTGTTCCCATAGTAACTATTGCTATGTTTATTATAATTTTTCTTGCATCACCACATTAGCTTTTTTAATTATTGATACAAAGCAAATTACAAATTCACACTCACAAATAAAGGACGCTGTGTCAAATGACCTATGAAAGCAGATCACCAGTAGTTACTGGGTACAATCAGTGATGCATTGTGGGTATAGTTAAATATTGAAAAACCATGCATAGTGGCAAATATTTTCAACACTTTACAAATTGTATCTCATAAAATTTGTCACTCAAAATAGCTGCAAATGGAGGTCACTTACCAGGAAATAGCAAGACTACTATTTTCATTAAAAAAATAAATCCTAAATCGTCACTTGAACCAGTAATACAAAAAAATGCACACGTTTGCTGAACTGGAAGACATAACTTTTTTTGGTTGTCGCTATTTGTCACTGCGTATAGGCAATAGATATGAGTACATGCAAGTAAATATGATCAAGCAACGTTTTGGTTTAATAGCTTTTAGTATCGTCTTCAAGTCATTATGCAGTTATCGGAATTGTCCTATTCAAAGTTGACTACAGCAAATTGGGGCCAAATTTGAGGAAAATGCCTTGAACTAAAAACCTCTCACATATGGAAAGCCCAAAACAATTTACAGCGATATCATATATGCAATATGCAGAGTTTTTCAACCATCACGCAGATTCTAATGGTAAACTCCAATACACCCATGATAATATTAATATTTATAATAATTTGTTAATTAATAATAATTTGTTATTATTCTTTGATTACAGGGGGTTTATAATCATCTTTGGTCACGTCAGACAACTCTTTTGCATACATGTCTAATCTACCATTCATCTGTGTAAAAATAAAAAATAAAGTTACAATTACAAGTTTGTAGGTTCATATTAGTGAATTACTTTTCAGATAGCAGTGGAAGTATTTATTAAACATTTACCCTGGACAACCTTCATGTTCAAGTTCAGAGAAGATGTTTGCATTGGTATTAGTAACACTCATTATTATACATCTGTCACCGTAGCGCCATAAGTTACAGCGTGCCGTAAATTTGCAGTATTTTACGGGGTATTTTCATCCTACCATATTTCGAAATGCAAATTCCAAATATGGAATAATTATGCACGTAAGTGTTCTCTAATAATTGTTTTTACAAACATGGCTGCCACAAGGGTTTGACCGGACTCTACACAAAGAATTTCGCTGATTCTGTTCCAAACTTTTTGGATTTCGGTATTCCCATGATGTATCATTGGGAGAAAAAGATGTATAATAATAAGGTTATTACGAAGTATGGACTCAGACAGTACGTCATCGCATCAACCTCCGCTGCTTTTCAGTAGATACTTCTGCTGTACCGTCTTCGTGCATGCTTTTTGGTATCCTCATAATAACCGCATATTACCAAGGAGTCTCTACGTCTTTCCATTGGGCATAGCTGATTCGCATGAGACATAGATCTCATCAAATTTATTCAAAACACTTCTGAAAATAGTATCATCATGACACTAAATATTTTCAAGATGTGGTGTATTTGATAATTACCAGTCAAATTAATACTAATGATAAGATTGGAAGCATCAACTCCACCACCTTGCCTTTCATTAATTTTTATCAAACAAAACAAAATGGTGGCTATAACCATAATGATGCTTAAAGTGAGCAGAAATTGTGAGCAATTTGAAAAAAAAATGTTGTATCGTGTATCATGTACGTACCACAAAGCACCACTTGTCTTTAACTTGACGACTAAGATTTAAATCCATCTCAGTTACTAGTAATCCATCACGAGTTCGACTCAATGACTGTCAAGGAAATAATCAAAGAAACCTAAGAAAGAAGCTCCCTTCCTCGAGTAGAAATGGGTAATACTCAAAATTAATAACAAAATTATAATTAGCTTAAAGTTGTGTTATTTGCTTAACTTATAGTTGACGTCTTTTACATATGCGAGTCATGAATCCAAATTAGTAGACACGTACGTCATTCACAGGTTATGCATTTTTACTCAGCAGCGAATTCATTTTTTTTTATCTCTACTACAACCTTAAAATCTTGTCATACAATGCAGTTTCAGATTCTGCATCAGAACTAGTGTAGGAAGTATTCAAATGCTGAATATTTGAAGTTCAAAGTTAGGTGTCGCAAAGACTCATCATGTGCTTCTGACACAGAAACCAAAAAGATTTCAGAAAAACAAACTGG